GCCGGGAGCGGCCACTGCACTCCAGTCTGGGCGACAGAGACTCCAACTCAAAAAACTAAACAAACAAACAAAAAAACAAGCAAACAAACAAACAAAAAAGTACAAAGTTTTATTTGTACGTGTAATGCTCATATACAAGTAGGACTTCCACTTGGCAAATAGAGTGATTGTTTATGTCTAGAATGTAATAATTACTGTTTTTTAAGTGATTCAAACTTTATTTTTTATTTTTTTGAGTTGGAGTCTCACTCTGTCACCCAGACTGGAGTGCAGTGGCTGCTCCCGGCCACCACAGCCTCGACCTGCTGGGCTCTGGCGATCCTTCCGCCTCAGCCTTCCAAGTAGCCGGAATTACAGGAGCGTGCTACCACGCCCAGCTGATTTTTTGATTTATTGTAGAGATGAGGTCTTGCTGCCTAGGCGGGTCTCGAACCCGCGGGCTCAGGCAATCCACTCACCTCAGCCTCCCAAAAGCGCGGGATTACAGGCTGAGCCACCGAGCCCGGCTTCAAACTTTATTTAGACTAGCTTTCTCCTCCATTAGTTAGAGCAAACCAGATTCTAAAATTAATTTCAATCACTACCTATAAATTTGGGCTTTTCTTTCCTGTGATTACTCTTTTTCTGAACCAATAGAATTATTAGCTAGCAGTGACATGGTAAGAGTTACCTGGAAAGAAAAAGAAGTAGAAACCAACTAGGAAACATATATGATTGATCTGAACTCTTAAATTGTATTTTATTGTTACCAATAGTCTCCTCATGGTTTTTATATGTGACCTTTTGGTATTCATTGCCCTAGACTTGTGGATAAAGTAAAGCACTGTGTTTGATTGTAAAAACGACCTCTTCAGAGCTTTCTAATGATCCCCTGTTGTCTGCTCTGTGAAATTCAGTGTCTTAATTAGCATACCACTATTTAGGATTGCTAAACAGAATAATACCTAATAACTTCCCTTTCAATAACGTAGCCTCAGTATACATACATAATCAGATAGTCTGGCTATGTGTAAATATACACCGATGGTATCAATCTTTTGGAAAGAGCATAATGTTAAGAGACGCATCTGTGTTCTCATCTGGATTCGCCACCTTCCTTCTTCATTGCAAATGCTTTGGTACATTACTTAACAGTTTGCATCCTTGGGAACAGCATAGTGGTTAAGCAAGTTGGTCAACTATTAGACTACCACAAACAAATAAAGTAGTAATACAAAGGGATCAAAAGGCTCAGACTAACAGGAAAGTAATGTGGTTTAAGTCGTAGCAAATGTTAATTAATATTTTATTTATAATTTTGTTATGCTTTTTTAATAATGATTTTTTTCTTTTCTATAAATGTCCTTTAAAGAAAGTATTACTTGTAGAGGAGGACTAAGCCTAGAGAAGATGAGCTCAGACTAAAACTTACATGTTAGTAGTAAATATGTATAATAATGTGTATGTGCTTTTAAAGGTGTATTATTAAAAAGCCTATAAAGAACATATATTTTAATACCATCAATACCATAATGGTGTAAAGGAGTAAATAGTATCATTAAAAAATCAAATAAGTAACTGGAATTGGCTAAGAATCATTACTGTGAAACCACTTCAGGTCTTTGCTTCAGATCTTCCCTCTAACTGCGAGACTGAAAGGACAGTTCTGTCAGCTCCTCTGTAATTTATGGCATTGGAGTCCTCTGAGAACTGAGCACAGGATCTGATACATAGATGCTTTAAAATATCAATTTAGCCAGACTCGGTGGATCAGCCTGTAATCCCGCGCCTTTGGGAGGCTGAGGTGAGTAGATTGCCTGAGCCTGCAGGTTCGAGACCCACCAGGGCAACTTGGCGAGACCTCATCCCTACAATAAATCAAAATGAGCCAGGCGTGGTAGCGCGCCTGTAGTTCCAGCTACTTGGAAGGCTGAGGCGGAAGGATCGCTGGAGCCCAGCAGGTTGGGGCTGCGGTGGCCGGGAGCGGCCACTGCACTCCAGTCTACATGACAGAGAAAGACTCCAACTCAAAAATAAATAAATAAAATAAAATATCAATTTAGCCGGGCAGTAGCTGATGCCTGTAATCCTAGCACTTTTGGAGGCTGAGGCGAGAGGATTGTCTGAACCCAAGGGTTCAGGACCAGCCTGGGCAACTTGGCGAGACCTCACCTCTACAATAAATAAATAAATACAAATTAGCCAAGTGTGGCGGTATGTGCCTATAGTCTCAGCTACTTGGGATGCTGAGGCAGAAGGATCCCCTGAAGCCCCCAGGTTGAGGCTGCCGTGGCCATGAGCGTGCCACTGTACTCCAGCCTGGGGGGACAGAGTGGTGAGACTTCGACTCAAAACGAAAATATATATATCTATATATATCTATATCTATATCTATATCTATATATATATATATATATATCAACTTATTTCCAAGGATTTAAAATTTTTTCTATAACTTCATGAGATGATATGGAGCACAGTGTAATAGAAAACATTACAAGGTTTGGAATTTAGGGCTCTGGATCCAAATCTTGATTGTGGGTACTCTGGCAAGTTATTTCTCTTTTAAGTATTCATTCCCCAATCAGTAAAACAGGCTCAACACCTCACAGGCTTGTCCACCAAAAATAGAATTTTATGTTTTATTCTTATACGTATTTGTCCAGTGGCCTAACTCAGGTGCCCCACCACACTTGGTCAAAATGTACTACTGTTTTTAAGCTTCAGGGATATTGGCCGGTAGTTTTCTTTAGTGTTAATGCCTTTTGTTTTTCTGGAAAAGTATGTGTAGGGTCATTAATATTTCTTCTTTGTTTCATAGAAAATCTTTGTGAGGATATTTTTATGAATTTTATGAGAGTTATGAATTTTATTTTTTTAATAGTGATAGGAAGACTCAGATTTTTCTGTTTCTTATGTCAGTTTCAGTAATTTACTTTCTTAAAGGAATGTGTTCATTTAATCTTTTGTCAAATTATTGATATGCGGTTTTAATAATATTTGTACATTCTCTTTTGTGGTTTTCAGTGATGTCCTTTCATTTTTTTGATACCCATTTTATTGATTTTGTCTTTTTCAAAAAATAAGCATTTGACTTTGTTTTATGTTTCATTGGTTTTGGCTCTTTCCATTTGTCCTGCTTTCTTTGGTTTTAATTTGCTTTTTTCTCTCTTATTTAGAAGTCTAGATAATAAACTTTAGACCTTTATTTTCTGATATAAACATTTAAAGCTATACATGCCCCTCTAACACTACATTAGCTACATTTTACAAATATTGGCATTTTGTATATTCATTTCCATTCAGTTCAAAATAGTTTTTAATTTTTTTGTGATTTCTATTTTGATCAATAAGTTGAGTGTGATGTTCATATTTCCAAATACTGGAAGACTTTCATGGTTTCTATTGTTTCTAATTTACTTTTGGGAACAAAGAATACACTCTGTATGCTCATGATCTTTTTAAAATTGTTGAGAATTATTTTATGGCCCAGGATACAGTCTGTTTTGCTAATGTTCTTTGTGCTCTTAGAAATAATAAATGTTCTGCTCTTGTTGAGTAGAGTTTTCTTTAAATATCAATTTGTCTAATTATTTGATAATGTTCAAATTTTCTGTATCCTAACTAATTTTCTATCAATGTGTTTCTGAGGGAAGACTATTCAAACCTCCAATAAAAATTGTGGATTTATCTGTTTCTCTTTTCAAGTTTTTCAGTTTTTGCTTCATGTACTATGAAACTTTGTTAGGTGCAAGAATACTTAAAATTCTGATTTTGATGGATTAAACCTTTCCTCATGAAATATCCTCCTTGTAATATTTCTTATTCTGAAGTCTACTTTGACATTAATAGTTATAGTAATTAATGGTTACACTAGAGTTGTATTATGATTATTACTATTTGCATAATGTGTATATTTTCATCCTTTAATAATCTTTAACCTATTTGTGTCTTTAGATTTATGCTATACTTAAAATAAAATATAGGTAAAATATATTTTATTGTAGATAAAATATATTTGGATATTTCATTTTATTTATTATGACAATTTGCCTTAGTTGGGATGTTTAGGCCGTTTACTTTTAGTAGAGTTAATTATTAGTATGGTTGGATTCATATCTGGTCTTTACTTTCTGTTTATTCCATCTATTCTTTGTCCTTTTTTCCTGCTTTCTTTTAGATTTAATATTTTTAATCTTATCTCCACTGTTAGCTTATTAGCTGTACCTCCTGTTTTATAAATGTTGGTAGTTGCTCAAGGGATTATAATATACATCTTTAACTTGACTTATCTTCAAGTGATATTTCACTTACAAGGTTTTTACAATAGGAATGATTCCATACCCTTGTTCAGTCCTTTGTGTTATTGTCTTACATTTCACTTCTGTATTATGTACAGACGTCATAATACATTGTTAACGTTTTTGCTTTAAATGGTCAATTTTTTAAAAAGAAGTTTAAAAATGAATAAGTTACCGGCCAATTCTTAAAAACCCAGATTTGTTGGGTGTCTGTCCGTTTATTCAATAACTACTGAATATTCTGTGCCAGGTATGGTGATAGAAACTAAGGGTGCAGCAGGAGAAAACAACAAATATATATTTTTTAATGGAGCTTATTGTGTAGTAGTGAAAATAAACAATAAACAAGGTAAATATTGTAGCATGGTTATAGTGATAAGTTATGAGGAGAAATAATAAGCCAGAGAAAGAAGCAGTGTCAGGTTGGGGAAGGTAGGTGGAGACCAAGGATTTAAAATAAGTGACCCAGGGAGGTGTCATTGAAAAATGACAGTTGAGCAAAGACCTCAAGGAGGTGTGAGAAAATAAGCAAAGTAGATATTACATGTACTGAGGCTCACACTGAATATGGTACAGCATTAATCATGTTCATAAAACTTAACTACTGAAGGTGCACAATTATTTTTAATTTTAAAAAGTAGGCTGAATTCCCAAGGTGGCGTTTTTCTGTTTTTAATGTCTAGGCTGTAGAAAATGGAAGAGATATTCAAAACCTGTTTTTTTCAAAACAGTAATAGTGAAAACATTAAGGCTCCATGTCATGATAAAGCTTTTGGAAAGTTATTATCCTGATTACACATTGACTGTTTCCTGGGTCCTAGAGAAACCTAAGAAAGCAGTAGCTCTGTGACAAGGTACTAAATTTCTGAAAAATATGATTCACCTGCTTTCTATCATTACAGTTTGTCAGTTGTTTTTAAACTTTTGAACATAGAAAATAAACCTATAAAGTGCAAATGCCTTTATTTGAAGAAAGTGAAAATGTCACGTACCAGGATCTGTCTTGTCCTAACTCATATACAAAGTCAGGGTTTAATGAAACAGCTGTTTCTGGTTCCTCAAGCAAATAAGAAAGACCTTTTACTGGACAACAAATGGGAACATAATAATAAATTAATCTTAATAGCTAAAAACTCTGTGAGATCCTTATTGTTACATAAAGCAGTATTTTATTCTTTTTCATTCTATTATGTGAATATTTCACAATTCATTCTACCATTGATGAAAATTTGATTTGTTTCCAATATTGGGCTATTACAAATAAATAGTGTTGCTCTGAGCAGTCTTATGATTAAGTCTTTTGGTACATAGTTTGCCAGTGTGGTTTTAAAGATGTTACTGCTATGGTTTTAAAGATGTTCTGTGACACTGAGACAAATATTGATTTACTAGATAATTTTAAATCACACATTTCAAATTTAGCTTCTGAAATGTAACTAATAAGTATACAAATTTTCCTACTAAGAGTACCAGGGAAACCTGTTGATCATACAAAGCTGTGGTTATTAACCTTGCCAAGCAGGGGGGAGGACTGCCTTTATAGTTTTAACGTTGTTTCAAAAGGAGGGGATTAGGAAAGAGTACTTAATGTGTTTTTAGGGACCAGGGTTAATCAGGGTGGTTTTAGTCCAGACTTTATCAAACTTTTCTAGCTTTACCACCTATAAATACAAGATTAGTCTTTGAATACATCTAAATAATCCCTTTCCAAATGTTCCCACTAATTCCAAGAACTTTATATCAGCATTTTGTGTTTAACATACATATTTCAACTTAAATATTTGGAAAACTGACAACACAGTGAAAAGAAGCCATGGTTAAATACACTAAAAATCAGTAAATTATGCATTTTGAATGGGTGAATTTTATGTTATATAAATTATATTCCCGTAAAGACTATTTCAAAACAAAAGCAAGAAACCTTGAGACCAAAATTCTAGACCTGTCTGGTATAAATTATTTAGTCAGTAAATATTTGAGAATTTGTTGACCCAGGACGTCAACTGGTAAGTATTAGAACTGACATGGTTCTGATACTCATAAAGTATTGGTAGAAGGGAGAGAGAGTATGAGCATGTGCATAAGTTTAGGAAGAGGCATACTTCATGCAAAAACATGTCCTTTATAGCTTAAGCCTGTGAAGAATACCAGCTAGTGTGACCAGAGGGGAGAGAAGGTGACAGAGCATGGCATAAGATGAAAGTGCAGACTATGCAAGGAGGCCTTGTAGAAGAGAGTTCTGTCTTTCTTTAAGAGCTGTGGAAGCCGGGCTCGGTGGCTCAGCCTGTAATCTCGTGCCTTTAGGAGGCTGTGAGTGGATTGCCTGAGCCCACGGGTTCAAGACCCGCTTGGGTAACTTGGCGAGACCTCATCTCTACAATAAGTCAAAGCGCGCGCCTGTAGTTGCAGCTACTTGGAAGGCTGAGGCGGAAGGATCACCGGAGCCCAGCAGGTCGAGGCTGTGGTGGCCGGGAGCAGCCACTGCACTCCAGTCTGGGCGACAGAGTGAGACTCCAACTCAAAAAAAAAAAAAAGAGCTGTGGAAAACTATTGAGTTTTAAGGGCAGGGGGTGGTGACATCATATCTGTGTCTTGGAAAGGTTGCTTTGGCTGCATTATAGAATTTGGTGTAGAGATATCCAAGAGTAGGAAGAGGTATACACATTAGGAGACCACAGTTTTGGTGCCAGATGTTGGAAGCTTAAAGAAAAAGAGGGTGGTGTCAAAATGATCCCTAGATTTTTGGAGTACAGAACTTGAAGGATTTCTTTGTAAACCGACCTTTTAGAATTTTAGGTGAGGGTGTTCCAAAATTACCCTCTTGATGTCTCATTTGTAAAACAGTATAGACTGCAGCAAATCAGAGTGAATGATCAGACATGTTTTTATATTAATATACCAGTTGACATTATAATCTTCTACCATTCTTAAAAATTTATTTAATTTGTCATAATCAAATGAGACTGAAGAGATTTATAACTTCAGTAATTTGAAATGTCGTATGTTTTGCTGTTGTATGTTATCTTTGTTTCAACAACTGTGATCTTATTTGACTTCCCCTCAGTGTTTGATTTTCATCAAGCAGCTGATGGTATCCAGGAACAACAGAGACAGGAACAAGCTGGAAAAAAGTATGATTTTTTCTTTTTTTGGTTCAGTTTAAGCATATCCAGACCCTTAATCTAAATTTTAGGCCAAAGGTTTAAGAAAAATAAGTATTGGAATATCCTGTTTTAGAGAAAATCTGTAGGGTTTGAAAAGTACTTATAGAAAAAAGCATAAACAGAAAATAGTCATTTATAACATTATTATTTGTGATGATTTGAACATAAGACCTGTATTTTTCTTACCTAACTCAAAGTGTGTTTTGATTTGTTTTTAAGTTTGGGTACCACAAAAAAGGGCATCGGTCCCGTTTATTCTTCCAAAGCAGCTCGGAGTGGACTTAGGATGTGTGACCTTGTTTCTGACTTTGATGGCTTCTCTGAGAGGTAACTAACTTGTGTTTCAAAATTGAAAGAATGAATGGATTTTTAGAATTTTTAAAATCTAGGTTATAAAATGATAAGATCAGTATTTTTGTTACATTCTAGTTGGTCCTTAATTTCAGATCAACTTCACAAAAAATAACATGGTGATGATTTAATAGTAGTATCCTAAGAAGACAAAGCCAGAGTTATATTTCAGGATTAGAGTACGGATTGGTTTGCTGAGAAATAGAATGATTCCAGGGGACGTGGCAGTACTTTGGAGTGGTTGTCACATTCTAGGGTCTTGATCCTTGGATTTTCAGCTCCCAAGAATGCATTATGTCCTTCTATCCAGAAATAGTTAGCCTCTCAGATACTAGTGAATTATATACTAAGCTCACCTAGAAAATCATAAATGCCACACTGACACATACTTTCTGTAGACCAATCTCCACGGGAAACCTAATAATTATCAAGAAGCTGTACAGTGACTCAGTGATGGGGAGTTGGTTGTGTTTAATAACAAATGACATCAAAGCTGTAATGTTTATTCCTTTTTAGTTAACCATTTATATTTGTCTACACTGATAGGATACCTGCAGTGAAGAATACAAGAGACAAATTTGTTATCTGCCTGTGTCTCTTACAAGCATCATATAGACTGTCCCCTTTTGTTTTTTACACAGTATAATACAACTAATTTGCATTTAAATCTTTTGAGGTTACAAATTTTAGTCATTCCATCCCTCTTCCTTTCCTACGCACAAATCACCTTAATTATACTGTTGAGTTTCCCAACCTTGAGTAAAAAAAATTTGTTTTAGTGCATTATTTATTTATATAGCTGATCTTCTTTATTACTTTTTCTTTTTCTTTTTTAGTCTGGGGTTTTACTCTATTGCCCAGGGTGGAGTGCAGTGGTGTGATCATGGCTCACCTCTCAGCCTCAATTTCCTGGGCTCAGGCGATCCTTCCATCTCTGCCTCCTGAGTAGTTGGGACTACATTTGCACCCCACCACGCCCAGCTAATTTTTTTTTTTTATTTTTTATAGAGATGAGGTCTTGCTATATTGGCCAGGTTGGCCTCCAACTTCTGGCTTCAAGCAATCCTGCCTTAGCCTCCCAAAGTGCTAAAATTGCAGGTGTGAGCCACCACACTTGACTGTTTTTATTATATTTTATTTTTCAGAAGGTAACTTAAGTTTTGGGATTAATTTGCTGTTATGACTACTTATCATCTAGAAATCATTTGAACTGAATGTTACTATTTGAAATAATTTTTTAAAAGATAATGTTTTGATTATCTTTATTTCTTAGGTTCAAAGTTCTAGCTAACCAATATAAGTCTATATACCCCACTTTGGAAATCGACATTGATGGTGAATTACAAAAACTTAAGGTAATGCTTTCTGACCACTTTAATGTTCTTTTTATCACTTGTTTGCCAAATTAGCATCTAGAGCATTCATTCATTCAGGCTTTGTATAAGAACTGGTAAAGGAAATTATTTGTCCTGGATGTGGCATGTGTGAGTTGACACAACACAATATAGCTTAGACAAAACACTGGATGTGGAACTGGAAGCAGGAGAAATACCTGAAGATAAAATTAGATAAGCAGGGACCCAGTCATAGGTCTTATATGCAATAATATGGAGTTAAGCTCTTTTCCTGGAGATAATGAAGAGTGTTGGATAATTTTAAGCAGAAAGAAGACTAGACTTGCGTTATATAAAAAACACTTACAGTAATTGGAGGATAAATCAGTAAAGGGATAAATGAGAGAGAACTTTTCAAGGTAATCAGCTCATTTAAGAGGGATACCCCATAGGATCCATTTCTTTAGCACTGTATTCTTAAGAAACAAGTAAGGTAATTTCCCAAATATTACAGATGGCAACTGTTTGGTATCAGTGGTGCCTAAGTTAGTCAGCTGTTGAGATTCCTATCCTCTCCACCCTTCCAGTCCCCACAATATTTGGTGAACTTTAAGCTGTTTCCTGCAAATCTGATTATTATTCCTCATCTATAAATATCAACATCAATTTCATAACTGATTAGGAATCTGTAAACCTCAAATGTCATTCTAGACTGGTTGCAGACCTTAAGTCTGCCTACTCACTAAGTTCTGAAAAAAATAATCTCCAAGGAACATTATAAATGCTAGATATTTGTATTTCAATGCATTAATTTTTAGGTAGATTAGACTGCCATTTACTTTTTATTCTGTTATGCAAAAAGTATTTTACATGTTTACTAACATTTTTTACTAATAACTTGGAAATATTTATGTGTTAACGGATGAGTATGACTTTTTAATTCTCATTTTATAAATATTCCATGTGAATGTAAAGCATATAAAGAATAATAAATGGAATTGGGTGTGAAGATTCTTGTAAGTGATGTATATTGAACCAGGACTTTAAGGAACGATGGACATGATAAGTGGTATGGTCATTTCAGGCATTAAAAAAAGGACTAAAACAGGAATAAGTAAGAGATTGAAGACAAGAGCCAAGGAGGGATTGTACCTTCATCAATGAGTATTACATATTAAGTGGGTTCATGAGTAGATTCCACAATTTCCATACTAGTCTACTTATTGATTCTAGGTTTTATTGCAGTTATACTGTAGGCCATAGAGGGGAAGCTCTTGCTTATATTACATTTTAAATTTAATTCTAAAGTTAAACAGTATTACCAACGCTAAATGTTTTGATAAATTTTTACAATGCTTATGTGTAAAATAGTATGATATTAATTATTAGTAATACTGTAGAGATATGTTACAGTAATGGAATGAAAAGAATAGTAGCAATTCATCACTGATATTTGCATGCTTAGCAATGTAACTTGTGGCCGCCACACTTTGAGAATCACTCTAAGATTCAGAATTCATGATTACACAGATTATAGATGGAACTTTTCAAACACGTCACAAAATATAAAAGCACAATGTAATATAAATAGTCGTTTCTTTTTATTTTCAGGAAAGCTGGCTTATAAAGTCTGAATACTTTGCTATTTGGAGAGTTTTCATTATTATTTGCAATTGAGGTTAATATAGAACACAATGAATTCCATCATATGTCTAATTTTTCTTGAGCTACTGTCTCTTTTCTGGTCCTGGAAAATCAACATGAGACCAAAGCTAATCCAGATGTTACAATAGGATAAATACTATCATCAGCCCCTTTCTGCTTTGCATTTGTCAGTTTTCACTGTCATAAAATTAGGTAATTTATACTGGTTATATTGTACATTTATTAGTATACATGGAAATTGGTTTTTGTCTTTGTATATAGGGTTATATGGAAAGGATTAAACCAATGGTGAGAGATGGAGTTTATTTCCTATATGAGGCCCTACATGGACCACCAAAGAAAATCTTGGTAGAAGGTGCAAATGCAGCACTATTAGATATTGATTTTGGTAAGTGAGATATGATTTATACTTAAGGGAACTTAACTGAACCCAAAGTGCTAAAGCTATAAATAATTGATGTAAGCAGTAAAGGGTTTTAAAACAGTGCTTGTTAGCTTGTATATTCAGGTATGATGGAAAATGGTCATCTTGTGCCGGTCTTTTTTTAAAGGTATATTGTGGAACACAATAAATGCTTTAAAATAAATGTTAGAAAACTTGTTTTCTAGTTCATTAGAAAAATGAAATCAGGCCTGACACAGTGGCTTATGCCTGTAATCCCAGCACTTTAGGAGGCTGAGACAGGAGGGTAACTTAAGTCCAGGAGTTGGAGGCTGCAGTGAGCCATGATTTTGCCACTGCACTTTAGCCTGGGCGACAGAGTGAAACCTTAAGAAGAATGAACAGAAAGAAAGAAAGAGGGAGGGGGAGGGGGAGAGAGAAGGGAGGGAGGCAGGGATGGGGAGGGGAAGAGAAGAGGAAAAATATTTGTGTTCAGTGGGTTTGAGGTTCTATAAATTGGGGTTTCCATTGATTCATGGTTCAAGTTCAAGCTTCATTTCCCTGAAACTATAAGATGATAAAATGAATTCTATGGAAGAATCTTCATCTTTAATTTAACCTTAAATATATATATATAATTAAACATCCATGTTATTTGATTTATAAAAGCATATTTACATTAATTAACTTTCTGAGCAGGAGACTGAATGGATTCAGAACATTTCTTCCATCTTCAAAAGGCCAATGCTTAATAATTTCTTCAAGCCACTGCCTCATTAGTTTATTGACTGTTTCATTTAAACATAATTTCTCACAATTAGTCTGATCTCAGCTCTTACATTTCATTTGCTTTTGACTCCAAGTAAACCAATTAAAGAAGATGTATTTCGATATAATAGATATGTTTGTTTGATAATATGATTTACCTAGTCAATCTGGAAAGAAAGCAGAGTGTCTAATTAGCAGAGTAAATAGTTAAGTGTGAAGGGGATCTTTTGTGGCAAAAAAGTATACCATTCTCAACTTACCTTTGTAATTTGGGTCTTTTCTCTGAACAGAGATTAAAAGCTAGGGAAATGTTGAATACTACAAAATTCTTAGTATATTGCTGTCACTTCAGGTTGCTGCTGTACCTTAAATATTCCTATCAGGGGATCATATTTATTTTAAACCAACAAGAGACTGAAAATACATAGCTGGATTTCAGTGTTAAATTTTTTCCCTGTCCATAAAGTGAGGATCTGCCACACAGAGCTGAGTTAGTAACTGCATGCATGCAGGAGCCTCTCCAGTAGAAGCACTTCTGTTAAAGCGCTGACCACCTACGTTTTTATCTCATTACAGATAAAAAGAATTAAAAGTAAAACAGTGAGACTTTGAGAGGGTGGTTACAGTTATTTTCAAGTCTATCAGATACCTAGAATATACTCAAATGCAGAATGTTCATGGGAATTCTGTTTTAAAATGCATATATATGTATATACTCTATTTTAATGTTTGTTTCTGTTTTTAGGGACTTATCCTTTTGTAACATCTTCAAATTGTACTGTTGGAGGTGTTTGTACCGGTTTGGGTATGCCCCCGCAAAATGTTGGAGAAGTGTATGGAGTTGTGAAAGCTTATACAACTAGAGTTGGTATTGGTGCCTTTCCTACAGAGCAAGACAATGTAAGCCTATTCTCAGTAAATCTAATTCAAAAAGTATTAAAATAAAAATTCTGGCTTTTTTCCCCCTTAATGAATTCTTATTAATTTACATATGTACTTTTTTTTTTTTTTTTTTTTGAGTTGGAGTCTCACTCCATCGCCA